CCTTTGCATTCACAACTTGGCTAACTGTTTGGTATATGAGGCCTAGCTTTCGGCCCATCTTGGCTTTAGACATGCCTTCCTTACTAAGCCTAATCATTTCTAGCTTTCGACTTAAAGGGAGAGACATATGACCCTTCCTTTCACTTATAGGTCACTGTGGGGTTACTAACTGGCCTAATTTCAATGCTGTTGAGTCTCAGGGAATGGGGAAGCCCGAGGAGAGGGAGAGACAGGGGAACAGACAAGAGGTAGAGTGGTCAGAACACACACAGCATTTATTAAGTTCGCTGTCTTATACGGGCACGGTTCATGGCTCCCCAAAACAATTATAATATTAACATCAAAGATCACTGATCACAGATCACCATAACAGATAGAACAAAAATGAAAAAATTTGAAATATTACGAGAATTACCAAAATGTGACACATTAACATGAAGTGAACACACACTATTGGAAAAATGGCACCAACAGACTTGTTTGTCACAAACTTTCAGTTTGTAAAAAAAAAAACCGCAATATCTGGGAAGTGCATACAGCAAAGCCCAATAAAATGAGTGTGCCTGAAATAGCTAATACAGAACACCATAAAAAGAGAGAGACACACACAATGGCAGAGAGAAGAAAAGCTTTCTATTTGCCACTTTCGGTGGTACTTTGGCCCTGCTTTCTGAACACAGGGCCCCACGCTTTCAGTTTGCACTCGGCCCTGACTGTGGCGTTTCACTTCTGCTCCTGTTGGCGCTGGTCCTTCTCACTGCGATGCCACCTTCCTTCTTTGCCTGGCTAATTTTCCCTCATCCTTGGAGACAGCCAGGTCAGCATCTCTTTCCAGAAGAGGGTCCCGGCTGCCTCAAGCTTCCCGTGACCCACTGCAGCCTGTACATCCCAGTGCTCGCCACCCTGAGTTGCAGGCATGTTTCTGCGTGAGTCTCACATACAAGGTGTGTGCGACTCCAGGGAGGGCCCCTGCCTGTCTGTCTTTGCATCCTCGAACCCACGGCACTCCCCCGTCATCAGTGCTCGGTACTGTAATTGACTAACTCCGAATATTGTTCCCATGCCTAGAACCCTCTCCGTCACTTCTAGAATCGAGTCCCAACTTCTCGTTCCCTTCACCATCGGCCCCTGGGGCCCCACCTGGAATTCCTTCACTCTCCCTTGGGTATCCCCGCACGTGCCAGTGCATCTGGGTTGCCTTCCATCCCCTGCCCACCCTGGCTCATGCCCTGGGCTCTGCCTGGAGGCTTCCTCTCCGCCCTTTGGGCCTGGTGAGCTCGTGACCTCCCTTGGAGATGCAGCCTCATGGCAGAACGGACATGGCACCACTGGGACTACGTGTGCCCACTGCTGGCCATGCTTCCCACGTGCTCAGCCACCTCAGGCACCTGTCGCCTCCCCACAGTTAGCCCTTTTGTGGAAGCTCCTTCCCTTCGGAGCTTCACAGCCTGGCACAGTGTGGTGCTAAGTGAATTATGAGTGGACCCTTTATCCCTGTTGAGAGGCTTAGACTTCCATCCTTCATCCATTTACAAGGACATATTTTATCCACTTCATATTCTTATTTCTAGGGCCAGAGCCCCTGTGTTGCACAATGACTGGAGTCCCCAGCGGTTTGGGGGGCTGGGCCGGGGGCATCGGCAAAGACACTGCGACCAGAGCGTGCCTGCGGAGTTGGGGCCGGGGAGCTGCCTGTCCAGTGATGGGGCAGCCACCAGGGAAGAGTCTTGGTGCGGAGTCTGGGGGGAGGCTCTGGAAGCACGGCCCAGCCCACGTCAGCATCACCTTCCCTGGGCTGCCGCAGACCAGCCTCCCTGACCCGAGGCAGGCAGGGCTGGCCTTCTCACCACGGCCAGCGTGGCCAGCCAAGCCTCGGGGGTGGTTACGGCCATATGCTTTGTGGGGGAGACATTCCTCATAGTTCACGGTATTTCCTAGATTCAGAGGCGAGCCAGCCTCTCTCTCTGGTATTGTCATAAGCTCACTGTCCTCTTTGTCTGCTCCTCCCCGCCCCCACCCCCAGTCAGCCCTTCTAACGGACACGTCAAGAGCTGCAGTCATTAAAGTCTGGGAATCTGCAGAGCCTTGGCCACGCGGCACATTGTCGTATTTCTCTGCTGTGGCCCAAGCTACTCCCCGAGCCTGGGCTGCCTGGAGCAGAAGCGCGACTCGCATGCGATCACCCCTTCCCCAAGCCCAGCTCTGGTCACTGACGGCGTCTTCCCTCTCGCTGTCCCAGAGCTACAGTCCAGCCAGATGCTCATTGCACAACCCAAAACAAATTCTAATTTACTTGTTTTTGGAGTTTTTTTCTGGAAATTTTATGACTCCCCTGAGGATAATGGCAGACACTTAAGGACATCACAAAACCAGGTTTGGAAACCCTGGGAAAAGATGTTCCTTTTAAAAGCAGCCCCGTTTACAACCACATCTTAAATAGCTCAAAAATCAACATTGCCAGACTCATCAAATAGCAAACAACCTTTCCCAGGCGGCCAGTGAGTGGCCCGGGGTCTGTTTCAGCCACGCGATTTTTATTTAACTGATGACTGGGCATGTCAGGGCATCATGGTCTTCCTCAGCCTGGCGCGGGCAAGTCAGAGTCTGCAGAGGAGGTGACGGTACGAAAATCCCAACGACACGGACCGCAGCCAGAGGAGGCACTTGACAGCCATAAACGATTAGAAATGGTTCCCAAACACAAACGTGTCAGAATTCCACATGGCCCGAACAGTCAGGCCTTTCCGTGCCTCACCCTCTTCCCACCCCTTGTTTGAAGAACACACTACATCTGCGCCCAGGACACAGAGGCAAGAACCCCAGCTCTTCCAAAAAACATCCTCGGCATGACAATGTCATTCTAGTTGAATAGAATATTGAACAACGAGAGAAAATATGCCCCCTCCCCTATCTCGCACTACTAGGTAAATGGCTGCCAGGACACAGGGTTTCTTTGGGCATCGGCATCTCAGTTGGCCCCTAGTGGAGGAGGGAAGGCATCTATGGGAGTTACACCAGGACACCCTGCTGGTGGCCAAACCCAGGGGAGGCAGATGGGGAGAGGCTGGGTGCTGGGACCCAGGCTGGGGTAGGGTATGGAGACAGCAGAGAACTCATTCCTAGCCAGCAAGTCACTGAGTCACCTGAGGGAAGAGGCTCCCAGGCTCAAATGCCATCACCTGAGGACATGCAAGGTGAGTGGGTCCTGCCTGCAGTCTATCTTCATGTAAGTGTTCTAGCTACGTGTGAAGGGGCAGCACAGGGCAGATTTCTAAATATCTGAAGAAAATTCCCTCCCACCCCATAGTGACAGTAAACTGAAGGGTGGATACACAGGGGCCCGGGAGCTGGCCCGTGGCAGAGGGGGAGGTGGGGCGCTGGCTCAGGGGCTGTGTTCCCAAGACCATGAAGTCCAGGCTGCACAGGGCCGGCGTGCAAGTGACAGCCTCTGCCCAGACCGCAGGGCATTCTGCAGAAATTCAGCAGGACCCCACCCTCCCAACCCCGCTTCAGAAACCTGCTTATTCATGCAGCGAGGAACTGGTCTTCTACTCCATGGCTAGTTTGCTCCCATCATGGGAGGAAAAGACAAGGAAAAGAAAAACACTCCTGCTCCTACCCCAACCTCTGAGGCCCAAAAACTGCCTTCTTGCTTAGCTTCCTCCAGGCCAGAGCTTTTGCTCGGGGGTCCGATTTTACTGGGCTGTATTTCCCTGCTCCCACTCTGATCTTACCTGGAATTTTCACTCAGTAGGAGTTCCTTGCTAAGTCATGGCCTGGTAAACTTCCTGCAGAAAAGCATAGACTATAATGGAGCAAATGGTCCTTAGCAAATTTCTAATTTCAACTGAGACCCCGAGAAGGGCAGGGGTTTGGCCAAAGTCACACAGCCACCCAGCGGTTAATGCACAGACCAGGCTGTTGGGCTCCCACCAAGTGCTCCTCCTACCACCTTATCTCTGGCAGCAGCTGGCACCTTATTCTGAGGAGGGATTGGGGACAAAGCTGCCAAGGGAGTGGGAGATGCAGAGAAGGGAAAGATATGTATAAGGCGAACCATATCCTCTGTCAAATTAAGTGTATGTTTCAACAAGCATTTTGATGAAATTATTATACAATAGTTTTATTTTTCAGTCACTATCAGTGGTGACTTAATGACTGTTTGGTTTAGTTCTTTTTGGAAAAGACATTTCTAACTAGCTCCTGTTTTCCTTTTGTTTTTCCCTGCACTCTCCTGTTTCACTACATTGTATCATCTTATAGCCATGGAGCTCCCAGGCAAAGAAGAGAACTGCATTCTCCAACCTTCTGGAACACATCGTGCTTTTTCAGACCTGTCTAGAAAACTCCTATTCACCCTTCAAAACCCAGCGCAAAGGACACCTCCTTAGAAAAGCTTCCCAAGCCTTCCTGGCAGCCAGGTTAAGCTAGTGCCCCTTCTTTCTTTTTCTCTGTTTCTCCATTCATCTGTTATACCATTTGTCACATGACACCATGATGTTTCCAAGTTCTGCAGGGCTGGGGCTCTGAGATTTTGCACTGGGACCCACTGCACTGGTTATTTCCTGCTTCCACTCTGCTATGACTCTGGGATTTTCCCCCAGTAAGAACCCTTTGTTATTTTAAGGCCTGGCAAACTTACTGGAGAAAACTGAACTTAGTCATCGCCAGATACCCCAGTCGTCACCAGATACCCCAATACCCATCACAAAGCCTAGTACGCAGAAAGCACTCAACAAATGTTTATAAAACTAATAAAGGTGAGATTTTGGCTTCATTAATTTATATATATTTTAAAAGGAGATTCCCAAACCTAGTTGCTGGCACATTTTGAATACATAAACCCTAGATGTTAACACTAATCATTGGTCAAAGGTGTGCTCCACTTGCCTTTCTCTATGAAGAACTCGGCCGTTTGGCCCCGCCCTCTCCTTGCAACCTATTTCCAGGCTTTTTACCTGAGCTGACCGGGAGGCCAAGGCCAGGTAGAGTGAACTCACCTATGACATTCCGGATGTCATCTTCTTCTTCGGGGCTCAGGGTGGGGCCGGCAGGGGTTGTCCCCTGCCCAGCAGTAGCATCTTGCCCCAGCAAGTTGGTCCTGACTGTGGTGGGAGGCGCTGGGGCCGTGTGTGTAGCCTCCACCCATGTGTCCCCAGGCGCCGTTGCTGGAGAAGCTGGGGCCGGAGGTGGCTGGGTGGCCGTGTGGGCCACGGTGGTGGCTGGAACCTGAGGAGAAGGATGAAGGACTGCTTCCCCCGTGGGATCCGGAAACGCTGAGGTCGTCGGGAGCGTTGCTGAGTGTGGTCTAACTGAGGCAGAGAGAGCGGGGTCGGCGACGCTGGGAGCTGGGGTCGGGGCCTGTGGCAGTGCTGAGGACAGGGGTGCGGTCTGAGTGCTCAGGTCACTTGTCACAGCAGTGTCATGTCCGGGATGGGTGGCTGCTGGCCTTCGGGTGGCTCTGGTCTGCAGGTCGTTGTGTCTCAGGAGCTGATCTTCAATCAGCAAGTCCACTCCATTGTCACCACTGAAGAACTCGTCTTCTGTGAAACAGATACAGGGCTCGCTTGTGGGACGGGAGGGGAACAACGTGCAGGTGGCCGAGAGCACATGGCAATCGGCAGGTTAACGGCCTTTCCTCAACACGACGGCCTGATGTAGGGATGGGGCCCGCTGGGATTTTAGGAGAAGGTAGAAAGGAGCACAGCTAGAAGTGTGTTGTATTTCCCGGAGGCTTCCTCCGAGTGGACCGTGGCTGTCCTCCACCCAGGACACGGGGCACTGGGAGGCCGCACAGTCACGGCTGTGAGCCCTGGTGTCTGGGAGGAAGTTAGTCAACCAAGCCACCCTTTGAACAAACGTCTATGGAGCACCGACGACAACAGTGAACAGAACAAAATCCTTGACCTCACAGAGCTTCTGTTTAGTGGTGGAGACACTATATAATAGAGAGATAGGTTGTACGTTTGAAGGGGCTCTGGGGAAAAAAGTAGAGTAGGACAAGGAGGGTCACGAAAGCTGGGAGGGAAGGGAAACTTGAAGTCATGGATACGGTGGTCGGGATGGGACTCACTGAGACGGAGAGGCGAGCAGAAGCCTGGAGAAGATGAAGGAGTTAGCCTAGCAGCTATGGGGGGTGGGAGGACTCGGGGAAATGCAGCAATGCAAAGGCCCTGAGGTGGACACGTGCATGTTGTGGACAGCGAGGTGGCCAGTGTGGACGAAGCAGGGGGTGCGAGGGGAGAGCAGCAGGAGGCGAGGCCAGAGAGAGAACAGGAGCTGCCATGTGTGGCTTGGAGGCGGTGCAGGGACTTTGGTTTTTATTCTGCGTAAAACAGGGGGGGCTGCGGGGTGTCAAGCAGAGATGGAACGTGGGGAGGCAAAGATTTTGTCGAGGGGACACAGAGAGCTCTAACCACAAAAGAAACGATTAGCAAAGCGAACTTCATGTGTTCATGGAAAGCACCATTAAGGGACTGAAGACGCCAGCCAGGAGCACAGGGTCACTGTGCCACGCGTCTGATCACAAAGGACTTGTATCCAGAACATTTTTAAAAACTCCCGCAAATCAGTAACAACAACAAAAAGACCGAAAACACAGTTATAAATGGGCAAAATGATGATTCTAGCTCCTGGGTTGAGAATAAACTAGGCAGAGGCGAGGGCAGAAGCAGAGAGACCGTCAGGAGGCTGCTGGTCCCACCTGATGGGGAAGCGACGAGCTGAGGCACAGCGGGAGAGGGAGGAACGGGGACCGTCTGGGGGTTCTGGGCAAGGAAAAGAAAGCAGACGAGGGGAGGAGGCGGGCTGCGAGGAGGAACGCTGGAAGAGCAAGTATTAAGGAAACAAGATGTGATGATGGGGAAAGGGATGATCTATCTTCTGTGAAAAGTAAGGAGGATGGAGTCAAAGGGAGGAGACTCAGGTAGGATGCTCAGGGCCGCTGGAGGGGGGAAGAGGCAGGAGAAGCCCAGAGTGTGGCCCTGAGCGAGTCATTCCTTCCAAGCCTCAGTTTCCTTATCTGCAAATGGGGAGGACTGGACTGGAGGGCCCTGAGGTCCCTTCCAGCCCAGCCATGCTCTGCCATGGGGTCTTCTGGGAGCCCAGAGAAGTTAAGTGGCTTGCCCCAGGCCACTCAGCAAGTCGTGAGGAAATGCAGCGAGAACTCTGGATAACGGTAGCTCTGCAGGGCGGGGCCCCAGCAGCAATCAGACCGAAGAAGGGGAGAGTGGTTCCCAGCAAGTCCATCCCCCCAAGGCCCAATTGGAGACCCCCTCCCTGCCCTGCCTCTGGGCCAGCTGGGCTGACCCCAACTCACGCTGCTCTTCGATGTCATTCTCTTCCTCGGGGACCTTGGCTTTATAGTAGGTGATGCCCCGGATGACAGTGGGCTGGGAGGCCGGCCGGCCCCTCAGGTGGACCTGCCTCTGCAGGGGCCGCCGTGGCTTCACCACCTCGGGTGGATCCAGGGGTCGCGTCTGCAGGAGCTCGATGGAGTTGATCTGCTGGGACACGGTTTCTTCCTGCAGAAACCGCTCTTCATACTGCTCCTCAGAGGGGACAGAAGGGAAGGTCAGGTCACTGGTCAGAGGCAGCAGGCAGCTAGGGGCAGTGCCGGACACCAACAACAGCTATGCCAACAACAGCAGCCCTTCCGAAGAGCCAGGCACTGTTCTGAGTGCTTTACGTATGTCTACGTATGTTCATTAACCTTTCTAGCAGTCCTGTGGGGTAGGACCTATTTTTATCATGCTCATTTACAGATGAAGAAACAGGCACAGAAAAGGCTATATAAATTGCCCAAGGTCCCACTACAGGTAAGTGGGAAGGCACGACTTGAACCCAGGCAGTCTGGCTCAGAAATCGGTGTCTAACCCCGATGCTATACCGGCCAGAGAATGCAGTTCTCTCAGCTCTGGCCCAGGGTGCTGGGGGACTTAGATCTGGTATAAGTTGTTTCCAGCAAGATCCACATGAGCGGAAGAGTGTCTGGGCTGGGACATGAAGTCTGAGGACCCAGATGCACATCCCCTCAGGACAAAGCCTAACTGTTTACAGCGATCAGTATGGGCTTCCTGAAACACACGTCACTCCCAGAACCAAGCTCGCCTCCTCTTGTTCCACCCCTCTGACCTCCCCCAACAAACACCCTAAGTATTCCAGTCACCGGGCCAACTGCTGAACCTCCTGGCTCCCCTGAGCCACTGGGTTCGTGTTCAGACTCTCTTCCCCCCACATAGCTACTTAGTGAAATCTACCCATTTCTCAAGGCCCAGCCCAAATCTCAGGTCCCCAAGGAAATACCCCCAGACCTTGGCGTTCAGAATTAATCCTTTTTGCCCAGTCCTCACTTTGTGCTTTGTGGCAGAGACTTCTAATTATCCACCCAAATCCCCTGCCCCCTTGCTCCTTACTAATGGAGACCTGGTTTTGTGGGAGTGGCTATGGGACTGAATTCTGGCCAGTGGGGTATAGGTAGAACTTGGTGGGAGAAACATTTGGAAAAGTTCCTTAAAAGGGGAGCTGACTCCGCTGGGAAGTATCTTTTGCTCTCTTCCTTATTTCTCCATCCTGAAATGTGGACAGGATGGCTGTCCACCATCTTGTGACCATGAGGAGATTTTGAGAATGAAAGTCACTAATTACATCTTGGAGTTAATCATATTAGCCCTGGACCACTTGCCTCCAGTGCCATTCTACGCGAAGGGACAATAAACCGTTCTATGGTCCATGGTAATGTATTCGAGTCTCTTACTCAAAGTTGAACTCAACTCCTAATGGAAACAAGTCTGCGCTTCCATTATACCACCTCTCCCTGCCGACCTTCCACAGGCATTATTTAAGGATGTTGTTAACTCTGTAGACTGTGAGAATCTGGAAGAGTAGAAACCATCTCTTGTTCATCTTTGATTCCCTGGATGGATGCTCCTTAATATTTGTCAAATTGAATTTCTGAATCATAACACATCCCAAGAAACTGTCTGTATTTGTGACTGGCATTTGATTTTGTCAAATCAAACGAGGCTTTAAAGTAGATAGCGCAGAATCTGGTGTCCGGGCCTCTTGATGGCACTGTGGGAATGCCACTGGGACAGTTCCAGTCAGGGAGGACTGCCCTGTCCTCCACAGAGCTGCTGCCCAGGGACTGGCCTCTTATGTCCACAGTATGGCAGGGTCTCTGGGTCCTGTGTGGGCCCATCCCTGCCCAGGATTACAATCACCCACCTTTGAAAGCAAAAGACCTTGGGTGCAAGTCCTGTCACCTGGTTGTGCTCAAAGTCAGGGCCACCCCACGGGTTGGCCCAGCTCCTGAGGGACAGTGGCTCCGTCAGAGAAGTATGGGAACCTGAGAGGAGTGTGGCCCAGCCCTGCTCTCGTGGGGACTTCAACAGCTGAATAATGAAGAGGTGGCTGCGGGAAGCCATGAGCTGCCCCTCCTCGACCAGGAGGCGGTGGGCGTGCCCCCTTAAGCCCTGTGATTCTAGGCCTTGGTGAACTCCATCTAGAAGGCAGAGCCTGTGCGGATATAAAACCTCTGTCCTCAGACGCCCGGTGCCCTGAAGCCGAGCAGGGCCTTCAGCCACTCCACGTTGGCTGCAGGGACCCAGTCACCACGGCCAACTTCCTCACTTTGCACAGGACATGCACACCAGGCTCTTGTTTTGGACCTTTACGATTTGGCCCGGAGAAAACCTGGAGTCCTCATTCCCAACCACACCCCCAAGTGAGCTTGTTTTCCTGTAACAAGAAGAGTTATCCAGATGGCACCACTGATACGGCCGTTCCTGAATATGCATCTCTGCCCAGCACACAGTGGTGACTGGGAGGCGGGGGACACCTTTCTGCCAACCTCCCCCAGTGGGGGCCAGAGAGCTCCCCAGAAGAAACAGGCCAATATGCCCAGCCGTGCCTGGGCAGCCCCACTCCCTCCATTCCCCGTTCTTGCTGGGGAGGTGGACTCGGCTCGGGGCGTAGGGGATTCCTGGTGGTGGGGGATGATGTTTTAGTGAAAACCTATATGGCCATGTCCCTTTATATTATTTTTAACCCTTTCAACAACGGGCCAAGGTAGATATTGTTACCTACATTTTACAGATGAGGGAACAGAGGCTTGGGGTCATTGTGCAATTTGGTTGAAAGTCAATCAAGTGGCTGAAAAGGGCACTTATTAAGTCACTCAATTAAGTAGGCCCTGGGCTACCCGCCTTCAGAGCCCGGCTCTTCCTTACATTAAGCCACACTGCCCACAGCTGTGACCACAGGACTAACGCGTTTATCATCCAAAAACTCGCCTATATCCCGAAGTCCTCGGGGCCGTGGTCTGGCTACTGCCCAGAAGACTTGGGAGATCCCTCATTTCCACTGGAAAGGGTGGCTGGGAGGCTGTCCAGCAGCCCTGGCCGCAGCCTTGACTCAGACGCCGAGGGGCATCTAATTGCTGGACCCTGGTTTCCCTCCACATTGCAAAAGCAGGTTGTCATTTCTTCGTGGCAAACCCCAGGAACTGTCTTTAATTCCAGGCTCTCAGGGAAGGGTGGGAACTGCAGTTCTTTCTTCTAGCCAAGGAGATGGAGCAAGACCATGGGCAGCCCTTGCCAGAGAACATATAATTTCCTTGGATTCACTGGCGACAGGCTGCACTGGGCGGCAGCAGCCCCCACCGAGCTTTGATTTCCTCTCTCTTAACCCAAGAGTCTGTTGTATGACTTCAACTCCTGGCATCAAAGGTTCCCACTCCCACCCTGCCCTCCCACTCCCAGCCCAGCCCCCAGAGCCCCCTGCCAACCGCCCAGACAAGGACCATCTTGGAGAGAGGCCTCCGGCAAATTACCAGTCACCATTCCAAGAAACCCCTGGCATCATCTACGAGAACCTGCAAATAAACAACCAAACCCAATACTCCACTCACCCCCTTTTCAGTACAGGGTTCACTAAAGAGAGGGATGAAGAGGGAGAGAAGATGCTGCATTTGGACTTCCTTCCCCACACCCCCTCTGGGCTCCGCCACCCTGGTTTGGGTGGATTGTGCTAACTTCAGCAGTGTGATGAATGGGGAGTTGGGCGGGGGAGGGACTTTGCTGAGCAAGGAGAAAAAGAGTTTGGTGTGTTTGATTCGGTTTGCTGTTTGCCCTCAGGAAATCTGAGCTGGGTTCTTGAACACACCACATAATGTGTCATCAGGACAACAGATGCATTCTTCAGCTTAGCCGACTGGGAAACTGGAAGCGGGGAGGGTGAGGAACAAACACCTGGCTCCACTGGGCAGCCAGGCCAGCTGAGGGTGCCAGATGGGCTGAGAAACCCCGGGCCCCAAGTATGACAAGCGGGTGGCTTCAAGTTCCCTTCCAGCCCAAATGTCCTCTGGCTCTTTGGTTTATGAGCTCAGACTCAGGGATGATCCACCATGCCTACTAAACACACGCTCAGTAGCCAGCATGTCAGGGACACCCAAAAATGAGAATAAAAATAATTTTTGAAGGAATATGATACTTCAAAAAAAGCATCAAAGTAGTCATCATGGGCAAAGCCAGAAAATTATTGGCCTTCCTTATAACTCATTTTATGGTTTGGAATTGTTTTCATTTTGAGTTACATATTGGGGAGGGTGCAGGCACCATATTCTTTTCAGGGCTTGTTGTTGCCTCAAGAGCCTTAACCTGCCTGTTTTCTAGCCTTCGGGACACATGTGCCCAAGACACCCAAACCCGCAGCTGCTGCCTACCTGGCACCACGCTGACGAACTTCTCTCCCCAAGAGTTCCAAGCCCACATACTCAGCCTTCCTTCCTCTCTTACCCGAGTTCTTACTGACCCAGGCAACAGAGTCCTGCCTAGCAATGCTTCCCAACTTTTTTCACGTCACAGCACACAGAGAAACCAGCTCAGAGGCGCTGGCTCTCCCAGGCTCTGCTCAATCCATACCCAAAACTCCCTGAGGCTAAGGGATCCCTCAATGGCCCACCTGGGACCCACTCCCCGGACACCAGTGAGCCACAGCTCTGCCGTCCACTGCCAACTCTTGGTAACCAGTTAATGTAAGCAAGGCCTCTCCTAAATGCTGGCTGCCCTGGGACCCCTTTTAGAACACTTTGTACAGACCTCCCTTGCTAATAGGACTCTCCAAGTCCTGCCACCAAAATGTACCTGTTTCCTCTTCCACTCTTTTGGGTTATCTCCCAAATTCATGACTGTTTCTTGGACATCAATTCAGTAAATAATCCAATACATTAAATGGTAACATGTTTAACTATGACCCCATAAACACAACTTAGCAGTAACTGGAGCCAAAAGAAATAGGCACGAAAGGGGGAGGCCTTTTTAGCAAGTAGGTCTTTTGGCATCACTCGACTCACATTAAACAGCGTCCCATTTCATGCATGGGTAACTTCGTGCTAGGGACGCAACTAGGTGGGAAGAGACAGGGGTTTAGGACCCTCTGCCACCACGCTGACTGAGCCAAGGAGACCATGCGCATTGCTGGACTGTTTCCTCATCTGTAAAAGGATATTGATCTCTGCCCTGCCTGCCTTCCAGAGCTCTGGTGAAGCCCACACGATATAGTGATAAAAGCATGTAGTAAATTACAAATTCCTTTATAAATGGTGGGGGGAGTGTATAATTTATTGCTTGCAAACTGGGACATTAATCATCATGCAGGACAGCAAGAGTGAACCGCCATGGTCCCGGACAAGCCAGGACCACAACAGGACGTGTGTCCTCCTGACGTATAAATGCAGGGGGTGCTCACAAAGGTGGGATGGGATAGCATGGGGAGAATGGGGGTTGGGACTCAGGGGGACCCAGATTAGAGTCCTGCTTTCAACCCTACTGAACCTCTCTGGGCTTCAACGGTAAGTAAAACGGGGCCAGACTGTGCCCATCAAACCTGCAGAACGAGTGTATGGATGAAATGAGACCACAACTGGATCCTGACAAGCTCTATGCAAATGAGAGATGCTGGTGCCCGATTCCCAGGGCTGTGTTCAGAGGCCCCTGGGGCTGGGGCGGGGGCTGTACCTCTGGGTGGGCGTAGGCTGCTGCCGCGTCCCTCTGCAGGGCCGAGCGGATGTCTGGCATGCTATCGAGGACGTTATCGGAGCAGTTTTCTTTGCCTCGTTTGTTCATCTCAGTTTGAATTTCTTCCATGTCCTTTTTGATTTGCTCGTTTTCCTTGGTGAGGTTTTTAGAAACTTCCTGAGAAGAGAAAACATTTAAAAAGAGGATCCATTAAGGTGATTTGGAGACAAGCAGGAGGTAGCTAGCAGCACCAAGTTCTGCTCAGAGCGTGAAGACACAACAGGCTGAGAAATCGTCCAGCAAGTGACCGGGGCTCGAGAGCACGCCCAGCCCGTGCTGAGGACCGGTGCCAGGGCCCCAGGCAGCACTTCCGGGCCAGCCCAGCTCCAGTGCGTCCAACCGCTGGACATCCTGCCCAAACTACCATAGCTTTTCTAGTAACACTGCCATGTCCCTGGGCCAGCAGGACACCTGGCTCTTTTTCTGGCATGGGTGTATAGTCCACCCTTACCCAGTGACGAAGAATATTACAAAAAACTTCATTCCCTTGCACCCCCTACATGTGAACTGTCACTCAATTAACAAAAGAAGAGCTTTCTAAGCAATTTGAGAAGCGGTGGCCAAAAAATCTAATCGGCCTGCTTTTCTAATGAGCACAAACTATTCCAGAGAATTTTAAAAGCATCATTTACATAGAAAAATTGATAGGCTAGCTTCAAACTTTCCTATTTACCCTTAAAAACAGTTACCCTAAATGCCCCCCACTTGGCAAAGTACCCATGTTCCAGACCTGGCTCAAACCAGAAAGGGTCAAGGCTAGATTTCAGTCAACCTACACCGCTAAGTACCTCCTGAGCGTCTCAGAGCAGCATGGCAGAAAGAACGGCTCCAAATACCCTTCGAGTCTTGCCCTGGCAACTGTAAGTGGGGAGAGACCAACCACATCAGGTTCTCTAAGTGCCAAACATGAGGTTCTGTGAGTTCAGAGCAGGAGAGAGGCAGAGGCAGCTTCCTGGAGAAGATGAACACTGAGTGGGATTTGCATTGCGGCAAAGTTGTTAACAGCCCTAGAGATGCCCTTTCTTCTCTAGTTATTTTTAGAGAGGCTTGACTACATTGAGATCCAACTTTGGCCCTCATACTGCAGTTTCCATGAGCATCTAAATTTTTCAATGTGATGTTCTCCTCTGGGCCCCGTTTATGAGGTTGGTAGAGGAAGCAACCATGTAAAATAGAGGATGTGTTTGCTTTCCATCTTTCTTTAACAAACAGACATGAGAAGTGTAAAAGCTCGGATGTTGCCAGGCACAGCCTCACAGCTTGGTTAAGATGCTCCTAATGTCCTAAAGGGAAGTCACCATGGCACAGAGCCAGGGGATGTGTACATACCCAGGCAGACCATGACACCCAGCCACCGCGGCTCCAGTGGTTCATACAGGGGCTGCCCCGAGAAGCCCTGTAGGTGTTTGTTAAACTAACCAGGCACCAGGCCCACCAGCCGTGCCATTGTTATAGCATTTCATTGCATGCTAGATCTTCAGCCCTGGAAGTGCTCAATGTGTTCTGTGGGGCTTAGGCCAAGCCAGCCTCTCTAAATTGCACAGAATTAACCATGAGAGCTAAAGCCCATGAGAAAGAGGTTTTATTTCAAGAATGCCCAGAAGGAGTGGTCTTACTGGGTGTGCAGTTATTCCTGACAGGGGTTCCCAGGGCAGTCGAGTACAATGATTAAGAGCATGGATTCTGGAGGAATCTGGTTCACACCTCAGTGCTACTATTGCTAGGTCTGTGATCTCAGGCAAATGATTTAAACTCCCTCTGCTTCAGTTTCCCATCTGCAAAATGGGGATAATATTAGCACTTTCCCTATGGGTTGCAGTGAGTATTAAACGAGTTAATGTACATGGATATGCATGGAATATACTGTACTAAGTGATTGCTCTTTTTCATAGATGTTACAGCTAGAATGGGCTCCAGAACTGGAGCCTAATCTTTCATTTCACAGAGAGGAAACTGAGGCCCAGAGTAAGGATGTGATCTGCCCATGGTCATTAAACAAAGTGTCAGAGCTGAATCAGCACCCAGCCTCCTGACCCTCACTTCTTTGGCTCACCTGCTGGATCACAAAGAACACCAGGAGAGGGTCCCGGTGCTCAGCCAGCTCTCAGCAGCACCAAGCACGTTAAAGAGGCCAAGAATACTTGCAGTGTGGTTTTGGGATACATGGGAGGGCATGCATATGCTGAGACATATAGAAATGCTGGACTCCCGTAAATCCTCACTACGCAAAATGTGATCCTGAGACCAGCAGCATCGGTGTCATGCAGGAGCTGGTTAGAAATGCAGATTCTCAGGCCAGGTGCGGTGGTTTATGCCGTAATCCTAGCACTCTGGGAGGCCGAGGCAGGAGGATTGCTTGAGGCCGGGAGTTCGAGACCAGCCTGAGCAAGAGCAAGACCCCAACTCTACAAAAAATAGGGATATTAGCCAGGTGTGGTGGCGTGTTCCTGTAGTCCCAGCTACTTGGGAGGCTGAGGGAGGAAGATCACTTGAGCCTACGAGTTTGAGGTTACAGTAAGCTATGATGACACCACTGCACTCTGGCCTGGGTGACACATGACACCACTGTACTCTGGCCTGGGTGACAGTGAGACCTTGTCTCAAAAAGAAAAAAAATAAGAAACGCAGGTTCTCAGGCCCACCCAGACCTGCTGAAGTGGAATCTATATTTTGCCAAGATCCCCATGTCCTCTGCATACACACTAAAGTTCGAGAAGAGCTGCCTTAAATGGAGGGAGCTTGGGGTACAGCTGCTTGAAGTGGGACAGAAATGTGTGAGAGACGCTGTTTTATAGGAGCCGAGTTCTTTCTGGGGCCTACAGGAAAAGTTCCTGGTCCCTTGCTGGGGTTCAAGCATTTCTATAATCCGTGAGCTCCTGCTGAGAGCACCTGTGCATGCCCCTCCTGTAGCTCTCGCATCTAAGACAGGGAGCGCAGTTCTGCAGTTTCGGGGATTCACGTGCTGCTTCTTCGTTAAGGCATTCCTGTGTTCAGTGCTGGCACCGAGGGGTCAAGCGTGAGCAAGACCGATGAGGATCCTTCCCTGGTGAAGATCACCCTCGCCACGAGGGGAAGTAAGCAGGAGACAAATACATAAGCAAGAGGACGTCAGCCATTGAAGGGGGCTGTGAAGAAACTCAGCCGGGGGACGTGACAGATGCAGGTCCAAATGCTTCCCTGACGAGGGGGCTGGGCTGTGTCCACACCTGCTGCCCAGCGGTGGCCCCAGGGCTCCACTAAATGTGCCGGTAACTCTGGGTGGACGGGATGGCTTCATGTCTCGAAGCAGCGGGTGTGAGGCATGGAGGCAGCCCTAGAGATGTAGCTCCTGCCCCCCAGATCTTGGGGTTTCTAGGCCCCTAGAGAGCCCCTGCTTCTCAGTGATTTATAAGCTCCAATCCCCTTTCTGGTTTCAGGGAGGAGCTGTCATTCTGGGTTTCCACAGAGGAGGGTTTGAGACAAGCCTGGTCCTGAGAACCCAGAGGGGCAATATGGTTTATTCCCCTCACGGGAATGGCAAAGCCCGCCAGCCGCCTGAATAAACACCAGGCTGGTGGTGGCATCACCCCGTCAGCCTGCGGGGCTGAGCCAGCTGGTGTTCCCGAGGGCGGCAGCAGCAGCAGCAGCAGCAGCGGCCCCTCCGTGGCCACCCCGACCCAGCCACCTCCGACCTGGGGGCGCTGGCCTCACAGAGCTCCCCACCCCTTCCTGGGGCTCTGCATTCCTCAAACCAAGGGCCTTTGTGGGGCACTCAGGAGACGCAGGGGGTGCCGCCCACGCGGGGTGCTCCCGATCCTACCCTGGCAGACAGGTGAACCCCATGACCTCATGCCTCAGGTTCCTTCCCTCTGGGACAGCTGCAGCCGTGACATTCATGGCGTGTGCAGCTTGGCTCGTGAGCAGTGCTGGCCGTGTGGTGGAGGGGTGGAGTCGCGCCTGTCTGGCAGGAGGGAGTGCCCCACATGGCCCCTGGCAGCGCTCCTGGTGCTGCGAGGAGGAGTGAAGGGAAGGCGGAGGGAGGACAGGCAGACAGAGGGCTGGGGCCGAAGGCTGGACACAGCCAGTTGTGGCAGTGAAAGATCTGGGAGCTCTGCATGAGCCCTTGGGCCAGGCAGAGTCAAGGGACTGCGAGGGGTTCACAGAACAATGCCACGCACTGGAGGGGCACGCAGTTGGGCACCGGAGGGCACTTGCTGAGAACAAGCCCACGCTGCACTGCCAGATGGGGACATGTGTCCAGTGCTGACTAGAGCCAGATGCACAGACGTAAGAGGGAGGAAGGGTGCAAACTGGGCAGGGTCCCCGGGCAAGGGGGGCCAGGATGTAGGTGGAGTTGGGGGTACAGCTGGCAGTCAGCACAGCTGGTCTTCAGGGAGTTGTGAGGGCCAACACAACCAGGTGTGCAGACCGGTGGGATGGGCACGCAGGGCATGGGCTGTATCCTGACCTTGTCCAGCCTGGGTGAGACTGCGTAGTGGCTTGAGCCAAAACCACAGGGGATGGGGGAAAGATGACCACGGTGCAGAGCACTGGCAGTTCTCTCTGGCCCTGTTTTCCCATCAGCATCAGGAACAGGGGTGTGTATGGGGGAAGGTGCTGGCTCTGGAGACCAGGTACGAAACCCACACCCAGCCATGGCCTGGTGATGTAACCATGCAAGGCAAGGGATGAAACCTCTCTAGGCCCAGGTGGAAAAAGAAGGAAGGATGACACCTGCCTCACCCAGGCTTGGTGTGGGGAATGAACGAGGGGCTGCATGTGGGCCCAGTGCCCAGCACAAAACTGGGCTTGAAGCATGTAGGTGAGGCTGAAGTGGGAGGGACCGCTGGGATCGCAGTAGCAGATACACAGGTGGAAAATGAAGGGGGAGTTAAGGTTTGGCGTGGCTGGGGCAGGGAGGAAGAAAAGAACCCCAGACTGGTGTGTTACAGAGAGACACACCGGACACCTGTAGGAGGAGATGAAGCTAGACTGCAGGTGGGCCAAACCTTGGCCCCACATCACACAGTAGGCACATGCTGCCACACCTGAGGAGGCTGTGTGGGGGGCCCTGCGGGTGTCACGATAGACAGCTGGGTGTGCACAGGGCTGGGGGCAGAGGGGATGTGGTCCCTCGT